CGTCGCGCTCTTCCCTAACGTCGAACGTTAGGGTTCGCATGGGTCCTCGACAGGCTGCTAGCTCGGGCATAGCGCTTGAGGCCTCGACACCTCGGATATCAGTACCCGACTTGAAGATGAGATCCAAGCCCAGAGTTGACATTGCCGGCCTACCAATGATCATGACCCGGTCTTTGGATGGCATGACGAGACATGGTAACCACATGGTGTCGTCCACCGGAGCCGAGAGTCCCTCCAGGTGAAACGACCGGATTGGAATGTCCACTGCTTGTGTACATATGGCAGATTGGCCATTTCCGTAAGTCACCCTTATCGATGGAATCTCTTTTACCTGCTTGGCCGATACGATTCCTTCCTTCAGGGCGAACGCAATCAGAGAGGGTGATACAAATGAGGCTCCGGCACCTGTATCGATGAGAGCTTCCGTGCGGAAGCAATTGCCAGTGCAACCAGACGCCGGAACTTCACCAACAATAACCGAGGCAAGTTTTGGGTCATTGCAGATGTATTTCGACACATTGATCGTTTGTGAAGAGGTCGTACACATCGTATCGCAAGCCTGGTTCATGACAGTAAAGTCCACGCCCTGATCCTGTTCGTCATCCTTAGCAGTTTCCAGTGTGTTATTAACGACTCTCCGCTCTCGAGATCCCTCGCCTCTACCGACCAGGCCAACATGTGGCCTTTTCTGACCATGACAGATACCAGGGTAGTGACCAGTTTTACCACATCGTTTACAGTTGATAGATGAGGCTTGGGATTTCCGGGGACATGTAGCCTTGGTATGTGATTTGGCACCACACAGCTGGCATCTCGCGGCGTCGTCCTTAGGGGCAGCCGCATCACAATTGTGCGCTACATGTCCCAAACCTTCACAACGATAGCATCCCTTCTTCTCTCTAGCTCGTTGTGTCATCGTCGTCATGACCTGTACCCTGTCGAACCCTGTGGTTTTACCCCTCGTTGCTTCAGCCAGTGTCGAAGTAGGATTCAGCAACATAGCCTGGGGGTTGCCCACTCGTGCATCTTCAAAGCTACGAGAGTAGTTACCGACCGTCTGAACATACTGTCGGTATGTCAGACTCGTCAACGGGTCTGCTATCGCTCGTGCTGCTTGTGCTACCGCACTCTTGAGGCCATTAGAGAA